AATCACTGACCTTGTGGGTAGCAGTCCAATGCTTATCCTGTAGCAGCACATGAGAACTCCTTTTCTGGGATTGTTGGTGTTATTGTTGTTAAGTGCCGTTGAGTCAGTTCCGACCCATAGTGACCCTGTCCACGGTTTCTGAGGCTGTAAATCTATACGGGAGCAGAAAGCCTCATCTTTCTCCCGCGGATCAGCTGGTAGTTTCAAACTGCTGACCTTGCAGTTAGCAGCCCGATTCATAACCACTACACTACCAGAGCTCCTAATAACATGTCCAAAGTAAGATGAAGTCTTACCATCCTTAATTCTAAGGAGCATTCTGGCTGTACTTCTTCTAAGGCAGGTTTATTCATTCTTCTGGCAGTCCATGGTATGTTCAGTATTCTTCAGCACATAATTCAAATACATCAAGTCTTTTTTTGTTTTCCTTTTTTATCATCCAGCTTTCATATGCATATGTGGTAACCATAAATAACTATGGTTAAGGTAAGGCGCATCTTAGTCCTCAAAGTGCCATGTTTGCTTTGTAACACTTTAAAGCGGTCTATTGTGGCAGATTAGTCTAATGCAATGCATCATTTGGTTTCTTGACTGCTACTTCTATGGGTGTTGATTGTGGATCCAAGGAAAACGAAATCCTGGACAATTTCAATCTTCTCTGAGTTTATCAAGATGTTGTCTATTGGTCCAGTGGTGAGGAGTTTTGTTTTCTTTATTTTGAGGTGTAATCTCTACTGAAGGCTGTAGTCTTTAATCTTCATCAGTAAGTGCTTCAAGTCTTCCTTGCTTTCAGCATGCAAAGTTGTATCGTCTGCATATCTCAGGTTGTTAATGAGTTTTCCTTCAATCCTGATGCTATGTTTTTCTTCATATAATCCAGTTTTTCAGACTATTTGCTCAGAGCACAGATTTCAGAAGTAGGGTGGAAGGATACAGCCCTGTTGCCCAGTGGTGTCACTGAGGTTCCTATCAGGTGGTAGCTCATGGTGTCATCTCTAATTGACTCCCTCCCCCACCGGACTTCTTCCCACACCAGAACCATAAAGAATCCTTAGTAATGTTTACTATCAATTTTAATCATAGAACAGTATGTAAAATATAGTTGTAAAAGTTTAAACCTTAAGGTTTCTTAAGTGAACACTAGCAACAAAATTGTTTGGCAAAATATTTCTTTATTGAATTACAACATTATTAATAACTGAGCAAAAGCTTTTACAATTTTTTCCCTTCTTTTCCTTTAATTACTAGTTCATTATCAAAGAAGTTCTTGATAGAGGTTTACAAGTACTGCTTACCACAATAATGTAGCCAAAAGTCCAGAAGATTTGACAAAAATCAGTGACAATAAGAACAGCAGCAGATGAAAACAACAGCACATGCTTACAGCACTCGCTGGCATAGCCACATGATTTCAGGCATTCTTGTAATTGGATAAAAATGACAATTCTGATGTGAGCATGTCAGAAGGTTCACAAAGTACATTAGGAGAGAGATTTAACCTGGTAGGTATATTGATATATGTAAGCTAGTCTTATGAAAATATTTTTGTTGCTGTAACTGACTACAGGGATATTTTTATAAAAAACAATAAATTTCTGCTGAAACGCTGCACATTTCCCATACAGTCATTTTGATGTCACCTTCTTTGACAGTGTCATTCGGTGTGGCACACACACACACACACAGACCTAATGATGTCACTGCCGACATACACCTTTCCTGATTAAGCCACTCAGTATTCCCTTGCTCCATTCTAATGACTACCTCTTGGTCTATATACTGGTTCTGTGTGAGCACAAGTAAGTGCTCTGGAATTTCCATTCTTCACAATGTTACCCATAATGTGCTATGATACACACAATTGAATGCCTTTGTATAGTCAATATGTCACAGATAAATGTCTTTCTGGTATTCTCTGCTTTAAATCAAGATCCGTCTGATATCATCAATGATACTCTCATTCCATGGTCTGTTCTGAATTCAGCTTGAATTTTGGGCAGTTCTTTGTATTGCTGCAACCATTTTTAAATTACCTTTAGCAAAATTTTGCTTGCATATTAATGATATTGTTTGAGAATTTCTTTATTCTGTTGCATCTCCTTTCTTTGAAATGTGCACATATATTTATCTCTCAGTTAATTAGCTGTCTTTCCAATTTCTTAGCATAGATGAGTGAGAAGTTCCCGCATTCCATCCATTTTTCTGAAATATCTCAGTTATTATTCCATCAATTATTTTACCACTGTCTTCAGTGCTGCTTCAACTTCTTTCTTCAGTTCTATTGCTTCTTGATCATATGCTACCTCCTAAAATGGTTGAATGCCAACCAATTCTTTTTGATGCAGTAATTCTGTGTATTCCTTCCATCTTCTGAATTCTATATTCTAGGAAGATGGATTTTGGTTGGGAAGAAATCTTTCTAAGACACTGCATATTTGGAACAGGTTGCTTTTAGAACTACTGGTTTCCTCTCCTTAAAAATGTTCATGAATGAGGTTATAGTTAAATAAGGTGGTCCTACAGACACCCCTTCCTTCTGGTTTTGTTCTGTAAAATATTTGTTCTTGGACCTTAGCACCAGTGCAATGGCTAGCACTTAAATGTTTGTAGATCAAGGCCAAGTAGAAATACTATGGCCCACCTAGACATTTCCTCAGAGTAAAGATGAAATTTCAGTTGAGGAAGAATAACGTAGGTCCAGCTTCAAGTCAGTGATGGCACACAAATCCTGAGATTGCTTCAAGATTTGTTCAATAGTCGGAGCATAGGGTAAAATACTCTTCTAATGGTGCTGATGCTGTATCTGTTTCCAGAACCAGAGCATCAGTCTACTGGACATGTCATTGCTTCTGGGAGGAGTTGGTACAATTTGAGGAAGTTTGAGTAGACATTTATTTTTTTCTCCTTAGTCTCCCTTATGAAGTTCTCATCTTTCCTAACTTCTGCAAGTTTCAGCTCCAACACGATTTCCTCTAGGATAGCTTCCCGGATCCCCTGCCCTCCAGCACCTCTGTACTAGAATAGTCTTTCTTCCATCTCTATGCCTATGCAGGATTCATTTTGTTATACTTGGTAGTCACTTGTGCATGTGTCATTTCTTGTATTAGGAACTCCTGGAAAGCATGACTCATGCTTTTCTCATCTTGGTAGCCCCCATAGCTGTCAGTACAGCCTGGCACATAGGGATGCTAAGTTATTCTGTGAAAGAAGAAAGTATGGTGTCTTGGAATGCTTTGTAGCAATTCTAATACATTTCATCATGACTTTTCTTGAGTGTTGGCCTTCTTGACAAGTATTTAATGGAGTTACATACCACGGCCACCTTCCCTTTACAGAATCAGCAATAGGTCACAGAAAGGTAGACTGACTTGCTCATAGAACCAAGGATCAGTTAGCATGGAGGCAGGATATGAATTGCTGTCCCTGAATTTTCAGCCCACCACTTATTGTCTATAAGTTATCACTCCTCTATTATCTTCCTTTTTCAAGAATGACCCCATCAGCTGCGCTGCAGGTCAAGAGTTAAAATCCCTCATGAAGACCAATTTTGATAAAACTGAAGATGGGGGCATGGACATTTGATTTCTTAAAGGGCTTACACCTTGAAGCTATGGAGAGGATGAGGTCTCTGTAAGTTTCCTGAGAGAAGAAGTAGCTTTTAATGGGAGAGGCATTCTTTTTGGGAAACACTTATGACTTTGTCTGGGGTAGGGAGTACAAGGTAAAGAATGGGGATAGAGAGAGAAAGATAGAAATGATTCTTTGGAATCATCAGTAGACTTAGAGAGGGAGCACGCAGAAGACTGAGATCTCTGTCTCCCTTGTCCAGTCAGGTTCCCAGGAAGGAAAGGAAGCCAGGAAGTTCTACCTAGGACTAGGCAGAGATCCCTTGGCTAGCACTTTGCTTGGGCTTTGTCCTTGGGAACCTGGGTGTGGTGGATGGAGGTGGATATTACAGCAGTAGCAGCATTTTGTCAGCATCAAAACTTTTTGAACTTAGGTAATTTGCTTTTGATTCCTTTGGTTTTAACTCAACCTTAGCAGAGGAAAATGACCTCACTGCATCCTAGAGTGTTAGAGATGGATGGATCCTCTGAGATGAAAGGAAGGAACTTGTCTAGGGTCATACAGAGAAGTCAGTGAAGTACTAGTTCTAGAGCCAGGCATCTGACTTCCCAATGTACCATTCTCAGTCTCCCTTCCTGCCCCTGCTTCTTTCTGGCACTTTCACAACTTGGTATCTAGCTCATATTCATAACTACATCGTTATGGGACATGCCGTAGAACTAAGAACCTTGTCTCTTTCAACTTTTTATGGGGGTGTTGCTAGGGGTAAATCTGGGCTTGGCAAAGGTGGATGAGAGCACAGAAGTATAGAGAATTTAGAAGCAGATAGTCAAGGTTGGGTGTCTAGTTTGGCTCTGTAGGATAAGCACTGGACCTTAAGGTCAGCAGTTCAAACTCACCAGCTGCTCCTTGGAAACCCTACACACAGATGCTATGAGTCGGAATCGACTCAACAACACTTAACAACAACAACAGGAATTTGTCAGAAACCTTTGTCCAGTGGACCCACTGGTCTCCTTCTAAGTCACGTGTTATTAAGCACTTAGTTTGTGCAGTGAACTGTGTACTATGTTTATATTAATTAGTTTAATCCTCACCACAATTTTAAGAGGTAGGTAAGGCATTCCATTTCTATTTTGATGGATGAGGACACTGAGGTTCAAAGAGGTACAGTCATCTACCCAATGCTGCAAACTCAGGCCGTGATGGAGCCTGGGTTCACCCTTGAGTTCTGACCACTGCTGCTCATCTCCCTCTTTAAGGAGATTGAAGAGGAAACAGAGATAATTCTTTTAGCATCAAGTAATGAATGGACTGAATGGTGTGAGAGGTTAGGAGGCTGTGAAGGGGCAGGGACAAAGGCAGGAAGGGCCTTGTTTATTCTCCACTCTTGACTGATCACAGACTGGTGGTGCGGAGCTGATGAACTGAGCTCAATTCCTCACCCCGGTGACCATCTGGATCCAGTTCTTGTTGTGGTAGATGTAGGAATACACTCCATAGCGGTCTTTCTTTCCACAGTCATCGCCCCAAGACACCGTGCCCACTAGGTACCACTGGTCTTTCTCTCTATCCAGAGTCACCATGGGCCCTCCAGAGTCACCTGCACAGGCATCTTTTCCCCCTAGATGAAGAAAAGGTGCAGAGAAATTAAAATGTGTTCACTACTTCCAACACCAAAGTCTAAGGAGGCCTCCAAGTCTGATTTGTAGTTCAGTGATTTGGACACGAGAGGGCGCAGTAGACCGTTTGACCCAAACCTGGGCTCAGGTTCTAGGTTCGACTTCACAATTGAAATTGCTTTTAGCATCGTTCGGCTTCTGTCTTTTCAGAGGGGAAAAGTGGGGCTTGGGAAAGGGAATGATGGAAATGATATGCATTCAGTTACAGGACTTCTAGGTCCTGGTGTAGCTCTGTGGGTTAATGCGCTGAACTGTAAAGTCTGTTTGAACCGCAAGGTCGGCGATTCAAGCTCACCAGCCGCTCCTCGGAAACCCGTTGCCGAGTCACTGAGTCGGAACCGACTCGACGGCACTTAACAACAACAAGCTTAGAGTCAGGAGCTTTATGTTTGTGCTCAGAATCCTAATGTTCACTTTCTTCTAATTCTGCTTCTCCAATGGAAACGCCGCCCCATCACGTCCAAATCTTACCTCTTCCTCCTCCCTCTTCACCTTCCCGTACCAACTCCAAGATCTGCCCTCCCACTGCTGGGCTGTGCATCACTGTCCTGGGCGGGCGTTACTCCTGTCCTCTGCCACTCCTTTGCAGTCTCTTGACTTACCTTCCTTCTCCCCAGCACAAATCATGTCCTCCGTCACTTTCTTCTTGAGTTGTGCATAAGTCTCCCAGCAGGTGCGATGATTAACGATTGGGATTTCGATCTGAAACACAAGGACATTGTTGGCTCCCACCCGAGGCTGGGGATCCCCTGCTATAATGGTATTCCTGGAACTGGCTCCTCCCTACCGCTTCCTGAAGGAAGAAGCAAGGTTTACTTTAGAGCTGGTGAAGGAATACTGAATTGTGAAGCAGGTGAGCCCAGTTCTGGTACATTCTCAACCATGCACTTGCTGTATGACCTTGGGCAAGTCACTTGCCATCTCTGGGTCTCAGTTCTCCTATCTGTAAAATTGAGGTAAGTAATACTTGTCTAGGACAAACTATAAATATTAGGTAATTTAAGGGTTATCAATGCTTGTTTTGCAGCAAACATTTACTTGTATTGCTCTGTCGCACTACAGTGTAAACTTTTAAACACTGGGTCTATATCTTGTCCTTTTCTACTTTGCATATCTGGGAACATAGTAAGTATTCAGAGAACAGTAGATTTTTTTGTGTTTTAATTGAGATGGTAAATTTATACCTAAATGTGAGGTGTTGTGACTATAGGTAGTCCCCACACTAAGACTGAGTTTCATTAATAAATCTGTCTTTAAGTAAAATTGTACATAAATTGAAACAATTAGGAATGGTTCATATCAAACATTAGTCAAATGTATATATCTATGAGTATAAAGTATATAAACTTTTCTATGCATTAAAGAATTAAAGAAACACTTGCAGATACACTAAATCATCATTAACATAATAATACAATAGCAATAATAATGTTTTGCCTCAAAGTAGAAACTGATTACTATTATGAACCTTTGTAAGAGTGTATATACCTTGAATTTTCTATATAATAAACTTTATAGGGGTTGGTTTGTAACTGCAGACTGTACATAAGTTGGACATTCATAATTCTGAGACTGTCTATATTATAGTTCTTTGTTCAGTTTGGGGGTAAATGTTGGAGTAGAGAGCTAGAGTAAGAGGAAACATCTATGCCTCATTCAGCCACATCAAAAACTGGATGGTTCATTTGTCCCCAAAGTACAACTTCTGTTGACCCTTGCTGGGAGAAGACCAGAGACCATTCATATCTCTCTTGGCCCATAGCCTTCCCCAGATAAGTGAAGAGAGAAAGTCATGTAGCCGGGTTGAGAGGGCATATCCTCAGCAAATAGTCTGTCACCTGATTAATCTCTATTTATTGATCAGTTATCATTTAGGTGACACTTCCTCTGGGAAGCCCTCCTGGAACCCCAAGACGAGGCTAACCCTTCCAGTATATGATCCTGAGTATCCTTATCACATTTACCACATTGATAATTGCCTTGTGTCTCTCCCACTTAACTTTAGGCCCAAGGAGGCAGGGAACCAGATCCGTCCTTTGACTCTTCTAGCTCCTCTAGAAGCTAGTATAATATCTGCAAATTGGGAGGCAGCAAATAAACAACTAGGAGTTAGTGAATGAAGGAATGAATGGTTGTTCCAAATAAAAAAAATATTAAATATGTTAAAATGCCATGCAGAAGAATTTTGGAATCTGCTGTGTCAGTATAGAACCTGATAATGTTAGAGCTGGGAAGCCTAGAGAACATCTAGAATTGCCCCCTAACTTTGCAGTTTGATATACAATGGTCTAGAGAGGTAAAATGACTTGTTGAACATCACCCTACAAGTTGGTAGGAGCCAGGACTTGGAGCCAGGGATCCTGACTCCTAGTTCAACGTTCTTTTCTGAAATGATACTGAATATAGAATTCTAAATGCCACAGTTAAGTTGATTACTGCAAGAACTGTGTTTCACAGAAATTTGGCCCATTCTTGGCTAATGTGATATGCAAGTTGTCATGGTATATAGATGTATCATGATTCTTCAGAATATACAAGCCTGTTGTTTTCTGGGAGACTTTCCATAGATGAGACTTTCATAGCCTCTAGGAACATTGAGCAATGTTTAGAGATGAAAGTCTTATGACATTCATAGTAAACAGATCAATGTTGCTTGTGTTCAAAGTCCCAGGGAACTTGGGAGGTGAGTCTGGGATCCTGGTACTGCTACCCCCACCTAAGTCTTCAGATCCCTGAGGGGCAATAGGGAGCAAGAAGATCCAATGTTGGGCAGAAGACCATTATCCATAGGGTATAAATTGAACTTCACCTCCATCAGGGTCTCTGGGAACCTTTGCAAGAACTGCTTTCCCCAGCCACTCACGATGACCATGGCCCCTGGAGGAGAGATGATGAGAGGAGAGTGATGAGAGCAGAGAGACTGTCTGTAGGGGTTTTAGAGGAAAGGGTTACATCTTGCAACCCCATCATATTCTGCCTGTGGAGGAAGGGATGAAGATGGTCCTTAGATAAAGGCACCATGGTGGAGAGGAAAGACTACTGGGTCAAAGGAGCACTTGGTTCTATGAGAAATAACCTGGTTTATTTGTTTAGGTGTCTATTCTCTCGCATTTCTAACTAGCATGGAATATGGGCATCAAACCAGTTCTTCCTGGTTCAGCCATGTCAGGGAAATAAAACCAAAATGGACCCAAATTTGTAAAATATGGGTGTACCAGAATGGTAAATGGAACAGGAAAAACGATGGGTCAATGTCTTACTAGGAACTCAGTCTCCTTTTTAGAAAACAAATATAGCATGCACAGTGTGTAGTAACCAATTCCTTTGAATTGCAGAGTTGGAAACAATGGTACCCTGCTCAAAGTTGGTTGCTAAATGCAATGCTTTGAATGTGTGTCATTCTCTTGGTAATAATCCAATTTCCTGCATCAGGTTCCTCTTCCAAGTCTCCTATTCCAAGCCTTGACCCAAGATTTTTACTGTTCTAGTTTTAGTCCCACTTCACCTAAATTTAAAACATTGAGGGCTGTTCTGATTTCACTACATAAGCCAAGATTGAACGGGTTTGAACCAGTTTGAAGTCCTGCATGTGGACCCTTGGCTCCATCAGAGCAGTATTCTCATCTATTTTATTTATGGCTGTGTCTTCAAGTCTATAATAGTTCTGGTACATAGTAGATGCTCATTTAATAAATGCAAATATGAAGTTCAGTCTAGTCAATAATATTCCATGCTGTCTTTAGCAAGTCCTCTCGCCTCTATTTCTGAGTCTCAGTTTCTCTACCCGTAAAATGAGAAGGCTGGACTTGGTATCCTTTAAGACCCCCTCCAGCTCTGACATTCTAGCAGTCCATGAAGTTAGAAAATATGAGGGATGATATGGAAATGGATTGAGTGCTGACAGAGCAATTCTTTTTTGCATTTGAAAAAGAGACTGGATACTGAAAACGATGCTGGACTAAAAGTTGGAAGCCTGGCCTTAGATCTGCTTCTTACAGCCTATATGTTGGGTAAGTCCTTTCACTTCTGAGCCTCAGTATTCTTATTATCTTTAAAATGGGGCTATAATACCATCTCACAAGACTTTTACAAGTAGTGAATAGGTTAATGATGTGAAGCAACAGGCACATGGTAGGAAGATGACATCTGTTGAATCAGAGCCAATTATACCTATTGGCTTAGTTCCCCTATACACTGCTTAGATGGGCCATCTTTTACATCATCTATGAATTACAGGAAGTGAATTATGATATGACATTAAAGAATTGAGAACATAATGAAAAAGAATGAAACTGACATGGGTTAGACTCTTAATTTATATTGTTGTTTTGTTGAGTGCAGTTAAGTCAGTTCCGACTCATAGTGAAGCTGTATAGGTTTTTTGAGGAGCGGTTGGTGAGTTTGAATTGTGAAACTTATGGTTCAAACTGACCTTGTGGTTGAGTACTTTTCCTACAGCACCACGCTAGGACTTTATATTGGATATGTTTAAATATTATGTCATTTAAATGTCATAACCACTCCATGGGAATTACCTTTAGTTTGGAGATAAGGGAATTGAGGCTTGGTGGGGTTAAGTAACTTTCTCGAGATCATCCAACTAGGAAATGTCAGCACTGGGATTTACACCTATGCCATTTATTAAGTGATTATGCTGTTTATTAAGCGATTATCCCTCAGCTCCAAACCTACCCTTGCATACTCAACTTTGTGATGCTGGGGATGGGATTCTGAAATGGTGGTGTTCCCTTGCCAATTGGTTTCTTATGTGGAGCACTTTTAGGGCAATTGGAAGCTTGCTATTATTACTGTCATCATCCTAGAAATGTTTCTTAACCACAGAAGTTGGTTCTAGCTTCCAGCTATTTTCTGTAGCACCATGTGTTTGTATGGGACCTCTTCTGTAGATATCTAAGTGCCAGCTCCACAGATCCCCTTACAAGCTTCTAGGTCCTTTAACTTCAATATCTTCTTTTCTTATTCTCTCAGCCCTAGAGGCAGTGCTTTCTTCTGGTAGCTACTATATTACCAAAGAATTTTCCTTTTGCTTATTAATTGCTCTAATACTCTAAATGAAAATTTCTCTGTTAAAGTTACTAGTATGGTTTCCATTTTCCTAACTGGACTCTAGTTTATATAGTACTTAGTTCTGCTTATTTACTTCATGCTTACCACCACTTCATGCTCCCTTGGCAATATCTCTGACTTCGATGTTCTAGAGAAGGTGGCTAGGGAATCATGTAGACATAGTTTGCTGACTCCGTTTTATAACTACAAGCTATGTTGGTACCAGAGCTTCACCAACCCTGGAGAAGGACTGAATCACCAAGAGAACTCCGTGCTAAAACTCTTCAGAGGTCAGATCAGGGGTGATACCTTCCTCAGGAGGCCCCTCGGGCAGACAGATGGGCATCACAAAGTCGTCTAGTACTGGCCTCTTCAACAGCTCCACCAGACCCACATCATTTTCAAAGGTGGTAGGGTCATACAGGGGATGGAGTACGATAGTTTTGACCATGAGATGCTGTTCCTTTTCATCTGATCGGAGTCTCCAATGCTTTCCTGGGCAAGAAGAAAACAGGTGAGGCATAGGAGTAGTGGGAGAAAAGGTCATCTCTTATCCCCTGTCTGCCCCTGTTCCATCCAGTCCATGTGTCCAATTTGACTGTTCTCACTGCTCTTCATCTACCTATTGGCCATTACCTGCATATTTTCATGGGTTCCTACCTTTGTCTTTCCTCAGGAGATGATCTCTTTACTTTGTAAATTTACATACAAGTTCAAACCTTCTAATCACACATCAGTGCCTAGTTCATATGTTGCCTCCTCCATGAAGTTGCTCATATTTTTTAGTTAGGTTCATCAGTTAGATAGCTTTCCCTATGAACTCCTATGCCACGTATCTATTTTTTCTCTTACAGAAGTTACTATTTCCTACTTCATATTAGAGGTATCTGTGCTTTTATTTCTTTCTTGGACTATAAGTTCTTTGAGCAGAAATCAAATGATTGTATTTCCAAGGTCTGGAACAGTGTCAGTAGCTAAATGTATATTGAACAGTGTTGAATCAGTGGCTGCTCTTGCTTTTCTAAAGGAGAATGAAAACTTTGACTTCATGTTTATGAGCCGCTTGAAACTGTAGATTCATAGAAACCGGATGGAGTTTTGGAAATTACTTAGATCGGGCTCCTCATTTAACATTGTGAAAATTAAGGTTAGATTTCAATGTCTTACTCATGGTCACATTGTCTGAAAATCATAGATTTAGACTTAAAATCAGGTCCCTGGATTCCAGCCCTGGGGTCCTTTTCATCTGGCTTCCTTCCTTGATGAGTGAGAGAATATGCCTTGGAAAATAACAGTAGTGGCACCCTAGATCCTTGCCCTGTCTTTAGTAACCTGTTTTCCCTTTACTCACCCAATATGATTTTGAAGTCAGAAGGTCTGAGCAAGTATGAGCCATTTAGAATTGGGTCCTCTGGATCAAGTGCTTGATGGAGGCAGTGAGCAGCGGTCACAATCCAATCGGTGCCTGGAGAACAAAACACACACATTGTCCGGCACCACCCCATCCTTCTTCTCCTGTCTCCAGGTGTGGGCCTTCAGAGTAGTCCAGGGCATCCTCAAGACCCTGTAGATTCCATATTCTTATCGATGATATTTTATGGCCTCACCTCTAACACTTACATGATCCTATTCTGAAGATGAGGAATTGAAATAAGATTCTATCTGTCTGTCTCAACCCAGGCCAAGAATAAACCCTTTAAAGAGGCTTTTCAGGGCTCCCTTCCACTCTTGGGGTTGGTGAGCTCTACACAGCCCAGGAGTTTCCACAATTGTTGTGTTCACTCTCTGCCTCTCAGGGCTGGACACAAAGTGTGGTCAGTGGACCAGTAGCAGCAGCATTGTTTGAGCGCTTGTGTGAATTATAGAATATAGACCTCTTGAACCACAATCTGCATTTTAACACGATCCCAAAGTAATTCCTATACACATTAAGGTTTTAGGATCACCATCCTAGCATGGTGCTTCTCAGCTCTCGCAACATATTAGAATCACATTGGGAATTATGAGAAAACAAAACAAGACAAAAACCCCTGTATCTTAAACCATTTAAATCATGGGTGTAGGGCTCAGGCACAAACATATTTCAAAAGTTCCCCAAGTGAGGAACTGCTGCCAGGATTGAAAACTACGATTCTGATCCACCTCTCATTTTATAGATATGGACTGAGGCTTGCAGGAAAGCAAGGAGGTCAGCAGCTGGCTACTCAGCAGGTTAGTGGTAGGGCCAAGGACAGATCCTGGGTCTCCTTATGGCCAGCTTGTGTATTTCTTATGTCTCAGCTATCTTCTTTTCTTGGACAGGTCCATTCCTAGTCCTGCCCTTAGTTTACTACAGGCTTAAATTAAGTTCATTGTTTAGGTGGAACAGATGGCAAGCCAGTAGGTAGTGAGCCCAGATGCATAACCAGAATAAGCTGTAGGATAAGCACTGGATTGCAGACCGCAAGGTGGGTCATTCAAACCCACGTGCCACTCCTTAGAAACCCTGTACATGGTTGCTATGAGTCAGAATTGTACACTTAACAACAGCAGGACTTTGGGATGGGGCATCAGTTCAAAATTCAGAGTCCAGGGTAGAAGCACCTTTCTGGAGTAGGAGGTCCAGGCTCCATTTGATTCTCTAAGGAACAACTATGTCCTTTGGCTACAAGTTTCTGAGTAGCCTCCAACTAAGCCCTCTCTACTTCCCCTGTAAGGCATTTCTGGAGATTATTAGCCATAATTTTCCAGGTGTGCTAAGACACTCAGGTTAGGAGAGCCTGACTCAGAACAGGGCTTGGAGCTATTTAGATGAATTCAGGTTTGTACCATGGGAATTCTAGCTCTGCAAATACTGAACCCATGAGCCAGTTTCCCTCAACTCAGGCCTCATTGGGCATTCAAATAGTGCTTCCCCTCCTTCTGCTCTTCTTCAGTTCCTCTCTGTGTTCTCAGCCCTCTCCTTCCTCTTCTCCTTTCCTTCATCTACAAGACTGAACAAAAGGAGGAGAGAGATGATAAATTAGGAGTGCTGTGAGGAGAGGGAAGTGGGTAGGAACTTTTAGGTTGTCTCAGGGTAGAGAAGTGGGCTTTCAACATCTTTCAAAACATAATAGGGAATAAACATGCAATAAATACAAATAAGAGTTGAACATTAAGGAACTTTAAAGATCAAAGCTAAAGAAAACTAGTTTAATTCTTAAAACTGAGGGCACATAATTAATATCTTTTACTTGTCTTCTAACAAAGTTTAAAATGTCTGATGAATTGAAGTTTTTACTTCCTTTCCTTCTTCCAATTTCCTCTTCCTCACCCTCTGTTTTTTTGTTTTTTGTTTTTTTCCATTTTGCCTCCTTTCTCCTTTTCTGTCTTTCCTCTCTTTTGGATTTCTCATGCCATACCAGTGTCTCTTCCACAAGTCATATTTCCTTCTATTTTTTCCTTATTCTTTCTCCAGTGTACCCCTGCCCCTAACCCATCCTTTCATTTTCTAGACTTTTATAATTTTTCTCTGTCTCCTTTTCGTCCTGTCTGTCTTTCTAATTCTGTTTCTGTTCCTCTTCATTTTCTTCTCATTCTTGTTCCTCTCCCTTGTGCTGCTCCCTTCTGACTTGTCCTCAGCCCTAACTCATCACACCTCCTTCCTTTTAACAGCTGTATTTCTTGCCTCTTTGAGAGGCTTCCTCCAAAGAATGGGAAGGTTCATTTCTCTGTTTTGGGGAATATAAGGATCCATTCCTTGCAAAGGAGGGCTTATGTTTGATTGTTGTTGTTGTTGTCAGGTGCCATCGAGTCGGAACCGACTCATAGCGACTCCATGCACAGCAGAACGAAATAATGTCCAATCCTGGGCCAACCTCACTACCACTGCCACACTTGAGTCCATCAATGATGCCACCTGGCCAATCCATCTCATTGGGGGTCTTCCTCTTTTTCTCTGACCTTCCACCTTACCCAGCATGACATCCTTCTCCATCGACTGTTCCCTTCAGGCAATATGTCCGAAGTATGAGAGATGAAGTTTAGCCATCTTGGCCTTCAAGGAGCACTCTGGCTGCACTTCTTCCAAAACAGATGTATTGGTTCTTTTGGCAGTCCATGGCACTTTTAGCATTTTCCTCCAACACCACAACTCAAAGGCATCAATTCTTCTACGATCTTCCTTATTCACTGTCCAGCTTTCGCATCCATATGAGGTTACTGAAAATACCATGGCTTGGGTCAGGCACACCTTAGTCCTCAAGCTGACATGTCTGCTCTTCAATACTTTAAAAAGTTCCTGTGCAGCAGATTTGCCCAATGCAATACGTCGTCTGATCTCTTGACTGCTGTTTCAGTGAGTGCTGACAGTTGATCCAAGAAGAATGAAGTCCTTGACAACTTCAATCTTTTCTCCATTGATAAGAATGTTGTTTATTGGTCCAGTGGTGAGGATTTTTGTTTTCTTGACATTGAGATGCAAGCGATACCGAAGGCTGTGCTCTATGTTTGATTGGTGATTCACAAATTTCTGGGTGGCCTGACTGCAGCTCTAGCCTGGAACTCGGTCTCTTCAAGGGATTCCTGACATGAACTGTCTACACTGTGGCAGAGGCTGTGCTGAGTGAGAGGCGTACTGACAGCCCCAAGCTACCAAGACAGAGGTGGACTGATCCCAGCCTTCTTCCTCTGCAGCGGGATGCAATCAGAAACGGGGCTGGACTCTGAATTGCTATTCCTTATTCTTAGGACATTAGAGCTGAAATCATCTGGACTAAAGTACTCATTTCAAAGATGGATATCAAGGCTCTGAAAGGCCCAAGATCATGGTCAGTGAGTGGCAGCGAGAGCCATCAGTCATTCCTTTCTTACCCTTGCTCTCTACTCCACCCACATTCAATCCATCACAAAGCTCTCAGTCCTATTTCCTAATATTTAAAAATCTCTTTATTTTTGCTCTCATTTCTCCAAAGGCTAATTACTTCTTTCCTCACTATTGCAATAGTCACCTCACTGAACCCTTGGCCTTTGATTTATGCTTTTTTTTTGATCCATGTTCCCTCTGAAAAGAATTTTCCAAAACATGCTTATTCATCTACAGTAATATTCAGAATAAAATCCAAATTCTTAAACATGACATTCAAGGTCTTTCTAAATCTCCCTTCCCTGACTTTCCCAGGCAGCAGTTTCGTAGTTTTCCCTTCCCAAACTGTGGCCCACCTTGCCCTTGAACTTCTGTCATACATGAAGAATGTTGCTGTTGTTAAGTTCTGTTGAGTCGGTCCCAACCCATAGCGACCCTGTACAGGGTTTCTGAGGCTGTAAATCTTTACGGGAGCAGAAAGTCTCATCTTTCTCCCATAGAACAGCTGGTAGTTTTGAACTGCTGACCCTGTGGTTTGCAACCCGATTCGTAACCACTATGCTAATTACTGTTATATTTAATGTTTGAAGGTCTGACTCCCTGACTTAGTCCTTCCTAGAACCACAATACATTCTGGACTCTGATACTGGTGTGGAGAGTGATTCTCTATGAAGATATCTTGGTTAATTTCCAACAATAGGTCTCAGGTACCATAGCATCTATCTCACCCTCTAACCTTCTACCTCCTTACCTAGAAGGGTGCCCCCACAGAAGGGTTGTCCTGTCAGGTGTGCTAGCATGGCAATCCAGGGGTTGGTGCCCTTCTGGACCTGGCGTCCATTGAAGATCCTGGATATCAGCTTCCGGGAGAACTTAGGGTGCCCACACACTGCAGCCAAGGAATAGAAGGATAGGTCATTCTGTGTTTAATCTTGCTTTTTGCCAGAGCTACTAGCTTCTCCAACCTTTGCATTCCAATCACCAGTAGTTGATCATTACTGATGATTGGAATTCAGAGGTTGGAAACAAAGAGAAAGGATCAGTAGCTGGAAAATATGGCCTTGGTGATAGAAATGATGCTAGAGATCGCCTGATGGAATTCTGCAATATCAATGATTTGTACACTTCAAATACTGTTTGAACTGCAAGGTCAGCAGTTCAAGCTCATCAGCTACTCCTTGGAAACCCTATACAGGGTCTCTATGGGATGGAACCAAATCAACAGCACTTTAACAACAACAACAACAATCTTTATAGAGGAGTCCTGGTGTGGTGCTATAGGATCAGCATCGAGCTGCTGACCACAAGGTTGGTGGTTCAAACCCACCAGTCGCTCCTTGGAAACCCTATACTATGAGTCACTGTGAGTCAGAACTGACTCGAGGCACAAAACAACACAACAACAATCTTTATGGGAGCAGATGATCAAGTGTTTTCTCCTGCAGAATAGCTGGTGGATTTTAACTGTGGAACTTTCAGTTAGTAGCTGAGTGCTTAAACACTGCACCACAAGGATGTCATTAGTCATTTTTGTTGTTTTTACGTGCTGTTGAGTCTGTTCCAACCCATAGTGATCCTGTATAGGGTTTCCGAGGAGTGACTGGTGGGCTTGAACCTCCAACCTTGCAGATCAAACCGACTTTTCAGTCAAGCTCATTAACCCACAGCTCCATGAGAAATACAGATCAAAACCACCGTGAGATATCACTCCCCACCCACTGTTGTTGTTGTTAAGTGCTGAGTCAGTTACAACTCATAGCAACATTGTATTGGATTTCTGAGGAGTGGCTGCTGGGTGTGAGCCACTGATCTTGCTACTAGTAGACTAGTGCTTACCCTATAGCATCACACCAGGACTCCAGGGGTAGCAATAACAATTTTTTTTTTTTTTAGTAAAAGACTACTTTCCACAAGGTTTCACCATTTTCATGGCCACCAGCAATGAACAAAGGTTTCAATTTTACCACATCCTTGGTGATATTTATTATTTTACTTAAAAACATAATTGTTATAGCTACCCCTAGAGTCCTGGTGTGGTGGTGTGGGCTAATGTGCTGGACTGTAAGGTTGCTTTGAACTTCAAGGTGGTGTCTCCAGCTCACCGCCGCTCCTCAGAAACCATATACAAGGTTGCTATGAGTCGGAACCGACTCAAAGGATTAACAACAGCAACAACAATAAACCTTGACAACTGAGTGTATAGTTTTTACCATTGTTGTTGTTATGCACTGTTGAGTTGGTTGACTCATAGTGACACTGGATAGGGTTTCTGAGGAGAAGCTGGTGAATTTGAAACACTAACCTTTCAGTTCAAACCGACCTTGCAGCCCGTACATTATCCCACAGTGCAACACTGGGACTTCAGTTTGTACCATAAGCCATAGAAAAGGGAGAATTCCGAATATGGTGTAAGGGATGCTTTCTGACTCTCAGGAAAGAGATAAAAAGCCTTTCTTGTCGGGAAGAAGAGAGAGGGAGACAGGTATTAGAGAAGTTAAACACAAGCATGGGACCCGCTCCCCAGTCTTTCCTCAGAGCTGAATATAGAGACTTGGTCCCTGTCCTTGAGTAGCTTACAGTCTGGACACATTCACCTGGAATCTTCTGGCATTTGACACGTTGGCTACTTAGTCCCACTTGATACCTTTCCTTCCTTAAATTCTGAAGCACTTCTCTTCTTGACTTTCTAACTTTATTTTTGGCTTCCTGTCCTCCCCCACATTACTTGGGCTTCTCTTTTTGTAAGAATTCCTGGTGGTGCCGAAGTTTAAATATTGTGCTTATAAATAAAACTGGATATATTCTTAGAACATATCCAGATCAGTCATAAGATACAACGCTGTCTGTGGTAGGGTAATATCCGTGCACCTACGGGGAAGACCATTTAATACCACTAATATACAAATATACTCACCAAATGCTAAAGCCAGTGAGGATGAAATAGAAGAATTCTACCAACTTCTTCAATCTGAAATTGATCAAACATGCAATCAAGATGTATTGATCATTACTGGTGACTGGAATGCAAAGATTGGAAGCAAAGAGGAAGGATCAGTAGTTGGAAAATATGGCCTTAGTGAAAAAAAATGATGCTGGAGA